CTCTCCCTGTGCCCTAACTCTAGAGCCCGCATAACTCAGGGTCAAATTTAGAAGGGACCTGTGCCAGGGCCCCTCCCTGGGGACACTATCACCTCTCATCCCTTAGTGAAGAACCTCTTTGGGACTGTTGTTGAGAGACGATCGGACAAAGAGAGAAGAGGGACCCAGGCAGTGCCTGCTTTCCAGAAGCATGCTCTGATCATACCCTCTCAGCATCCCCTTTATTAAAATGACGTCTTGAAAGCAGTCCACACCCACACTTGACGGCCCTTGTCCCTTGTCCCCTTCCCTTCAGGGCCTGGAGCAGCATCACAGCTCTCCTTTGAATATCTTTGAGAGGAAGAGCATGGATTCAGAGTCCAGCCTGGAGCCTGCCCATCTCCCCACAGACCCACAAGCAGCTGGCGGGAGAAGGATCTCTGGTAGAGCAAAGACCTTTCTTTGGAAGCGAGCCCAGGTGAGAGACCACAGAACCAGGATTTTGAGTCCAGAATGGGTTGGGAAAGCAGAGGGGGGAGGCGAGGAGGGGCTGCACATCCCTGAAACCAGCCTCCATCTGTGCCCCTGCTGCGCCCCACAGGGGAGAGTATTCACAGAACATGAATCCCCATGTAAGAATCCGAACCAGAGTTGGAGAAAGGCCCAACAGACAGTGAGGTACAAAGGACATGATATGCTGCCAGCCCCCGGCCCAGGTTCCCATTAGGCTGCTGACGTCCTCCTCCATGGCCTCCAGGTCTTGGGCCCTTACCCTGGGCAGTGGGTCAATACTTGGTTGGTGAAGTTCTGACTGGAGATCACCTCCGGGAGAGTGAGAGATGTGGCTGGAAGCGTGGTTGCTCTTGTGGTTGTACGTGGTGCTGGAGATAAAAATCACACATCGGGCACTGCTCACCCCACAGTCGTGCACTAAGCACCTGTTTGAATCTGATGTCACATACAATCATCCACTCACAGAAGAGACTCAGGAGAGAGCCTGAAGCCAGACCCAGACTACCTACTGGGTGGAGCCCCTCAGGAACCAATGAGGCTTTCCCAGAAGTGGCCAGGAGTCACTTCTAATAAGTGCCAGATGGTTCTTCCCGTCGCAAGTTTGATTCTGTCTGGGGTGAGATCAGGAAACTCTCAGGGGTTCCCCAGCCTGATGAGGAGCCCCAGCGGGAGGAAGGGCAGGAAGGAGTTGGATGAAGATGGCCCAAAGCCTCACAGAGACTTTGGGAGGGGTTCAGGCACCCCTCATATGGAAACTAAGGCCACTTTCACCCACAGCTGGGGTGCGGATAGGTTGTCTCCTTGCTCCTCCTAAGGACCTCAGGTGTCCAAACTATTGGCATAACCTATGCTCCCACCCCCACTCTGCCCCAACCTCATGTTGTCCAAAAAAAGAAGTCTCCCAGAGGCTCAGCCCTTCACAGAGCACCCAACTCAGGCTCGGTTTCACCCAACAACCACCTTTGATGTCCTTGCTGTTGGGGATTCACTGATGCACGTAGCACCATCCCTGCCATTACAGAGAAGCAGAGACAGACACCTAAACAAACTGGCACACTTCAATAAAGTGCTGGGCATGGGAGTGGAACTCCACCAGGTACAGCAGGAGTGCAAGGAGGGAGCGTGCCTCCTCCACCTTCCAGGCAAGCAGAAAGAAATGAGACATGGCAGCAGGCAGAGGAGGCTGCAGGGTATATGGCAATTTCTGTCAAATAAAAACATTACGGTGTCTGGGGCGGCGGATTGGGGGAGGAGGGTTGTCACTTCAAGGGGTAAAAAGTATAACTATTGCACTGTGTTGTACAGCTGAAACTAATTCTAAAAAATGTGTATTTCATAATAAAAAATAATTAAAAGAAAAAAAAAGAAAGAAGTCAGACGGAAAAAAACAAATACCATATGATCTCACTTATATGTGAAATCTAAAGAACAGAATAAACGAACAAACAAAACAGAAAAAAACAAAAAAAACCACTATGGTGTGTCCTCATCCACCTTATTCACTGGACCTGGCACCGTGTGACTTCTGGCTCTTCCCCAAAGTCAATGTGATTCAGGACATCGAGGCAGCCACGACAGCGCAACTAAAGACACTCACGGAAGACGACTCCCGGAACTGCTTCAGAAAGTGGCAAGAACGATGGGATACGTGTGTTTGAAGCGAGCGGGAGTATTTTGAGGGGGATTAATGGCAATATGTCTTTTACTGTAATACATTTTTTTAAATTTAAGCATTCACTGTATTTTTTTTTATCACACCTCGTATGTATGATGAGTTTATTTCCTTTGGTACAGGTGTCTGAAGGGCTTGGTGGAAGTGGCCTTGGCTCAGCGTGGAGCTCATGCCAAGGCTGAAGGGTCAGCCTCCTCTCTCCCTGCCCACATCACAGGCCCTTCCAACACCACTGAGACAGAGGGTAAGACAAGACCCTGAGGCACTCTTCAGTGTAGCGCCCGTCCTTGTCCCCATGTCCAGTCATAGCCCATAAGGTCTGCTGCTAGAGTGAAGGGAGCTGTTACCTGGGTTAACAGACACCTGCACCTGGAACGAGGGATCACGTGACCATGAGTCGAAGATCCATGATGTCTGAATTTTACACCAGTAGGACCCGGCATCAGCTGCGTTGAGGTTCGTCATGGTCACTGTGAAGGCGCGTGCATAAGGGCTGTCTCTGATCGACACGCGGCCACTCCTTCCTTCTGTCTCTCTTCCGTTGGTCTCCACAACGGTGTTACAATCTGTGTCATGCTGTCCTTGACACCAGTACTTTTTATTCTCCTCGTACTCCTCCTCGTACAGACATTGCACAGTCAGAGAGCCCCCCGTGGTGCCCGTCACAAAGCTGGGGCCCCTCAGGGAAAAACAACCTGGAACACAAAAGCCATCCCAGAACTCTATCCCAGTGGGTCCCAGCAGCAGCAGCAGCAGCAGCAACTGCCTGAAGCCCAAAGGGAAAGTTGCCAAGGAGGACTGGATGGTTCTGGACTCGGGGATGGGGACCTGGAGGGACACCTGAGCTTAAAACCTAAGACAGATGATCATGAGACTGTGGTAAGCAGGACAAGTAGAGACCTGTGCCCTGTGAGCTCAGAAACACTGAGTCACTGCATGGGGACCCCGCCCTTGGGGACGGGGAGAGTCAGACCAAAGTCAGAGGTGGGAGCAGAGACAGCTGGCTGTCCTGCCCTTAGCCTGTGGCCTCCGCCAGGTGTGAGGTTCAGCCACGTACCAAAACGCTTCCCTTTGGAGTCAGGCCTCTGTATTCTGGGCTTTCTGCAAGTCAAACTTGTTCTTTAAGAGTACATGTCTTGTTTACTATGCTCTCCATGTGTCCTCAAGGGAGGAAAAATTAGTCTCTGGCTCTCAGCTCCTCTTAGGGAGGGTCAGCACGCTTGCTGCCATGCACCTGGCTGCTGGGAAGAGGGCTGGGTCCCAGAGGAGGCCCTGTTAGGCTTCCTGACAGGTTTGGGGCACCCGTAATCATCATCTCCATGGCCTGCTTTCTGATCCCTGTGGTCAGAGGAAAAAGGGGTTACGTGAGATTGTGCTTTTTGTCATGGAGCAGGATGATTTTTGGGGTGGGGGCAGTGGGGGTTAGAATCTGGGAAGCAAAGTGTGAGAAGCTGATGAGGAAGGAGAGAAAAAGCGGAAAGCTGCAGGTGGGCAGGTCCTGCATCGTGTGATGTGACTCTCACCAGAGCCCCCCAAACTGGAGCAAATGTTCAAACACTTACACTGTTTTGAGCTTGAGTGTGTGTGCATGTATGTGTGTGAATATGCGTGAGTGTGTGTGTGTGTGTGTGTGTGTGTGTGTGTGTGTGTGTAAACAGCGAAGGGGCAGAGCTTGCAGTGGCCATGGAAACATAGCCCTAGGGATTAGCAGGAATGGTGCCAGCGACCTGGCTGGGACCTGAGCTAATTACATCGAGGTGCAGGTGAGTGCAGGGGTGGGGGAGTCCCTGACTCCTAGCTTTCGCTCATGTCTTGCTCTCCTGCCTCCTGCCTTTTCTCCCCACGCTGTCCCCTGCTCACTGTCATCCCCCCGGCTGGGGACCATGCACTGCTTCCTCACCCACCCACCAGGCTTGGCCCCAGAAAATCTTCCAGGCGTTGCCCCTGGCACCAAGTCCCTCCAAACTCACCAATACCTGTCCGCCCCTCCCCAACCCCTGCCCGTTGTTCTCTTTTGACCTCAGGAAAGTGACTTCCAACCCTGCAGCCTCTGAGCTCTCCCCATTTCTCCTGCTGTCCTGATTTATGTGACAACATTTCCCAGCCTGAGAACCGCACCTGGAGAACCTCCCCTTTTCCAACCCCTGCCCCCATATCTATGTTTTCCCCAAGGACACATCTCTCCACCACTGTCCCCACCCAAGGTCAGAGGGCTGGGCTCACCTTCTCCCTTCCACCTGCCCCGCCTCCTCCTAGAGGTGGTGTGTTCTCAGCAGTGCCTCCTTCCTCATCCTGGACAGCGCTCAGAAGTTCACTTCCCCACAGTGGGAATTTTTCAGTGTGCAGAGCACATGTCACAGCCAGGAGCCTGGGAGTGAAGCCCCGGCAGGCTCAGGAGAGACTCCTTCCTTCTTGGAGAATTTGAGTCCTTCCATCTATCTGGGCTTGGGGACAGCCCCTTCAGAGCTGAGTGTGCCCTGGGATTCCTGCCTCTCCAATCAAGGAGATTCTAACAGCTGATGAACATTCACATTAAAGAGAAATGTCCAGGCTCCTTCCAGCCCGGAGAGTCTATAATTCCATAAAACAAGTCAATATCCATTAGAGCTGGTCTGTCCTTCTGCCCCCGGCTGCTGGAATCTACCTACCACTCCCCTGCTTACAAACTGGGCTCCTTCTGTCTTCTAGGAAGCAGGGAACACGCGCGCGCGCGCACGCGCGCGCGCACACACACACACACGCGCGCGCGCGCGCGCGCGCTCCCCTCAGCCAGGCAGCTCCTGCCCTCTCCTGGCAGTAGCTCCCTACCAAACCCTGCATCCCCGAAAGACCCCCTCACTCCCTCCTTCCTCTGTCCTGCTCTTTGTCCTGCTCACGACTCCCCTGCCCTTACCCCTGGTACTCCTTGGCTTGGGCGCCCTTGCAGGCTGAGGGAATGGGCATACACCAGCTCTATTTTGCAAAATTCATAGCATGGAAACTTGTGCCACAGCATCAAGGACACAGAGACAAGAAGGGGGCGGCATTTCTTGGTGCAGGGAGTCCTGACTAGGAGTCAGAAGACCTGGGTTCTAGGCGTGGCTCTGCCATTGGCTAGTCTGTGACCTCGAGCTTCAGCATCTGGGAAAAGAGGTTCCCAACCTGACCTGCCTGCCCCCCGGAGCTGGGGTATTGATTGTATGAGATCGTGACTTACATTTTAGGGGCGGGACAGGGGGTGTGGATAAGTGCATCTGGGTACAGCCTAGTCAACAAAGCCACCTCCAGAACAGGTAAATTAATTTGCAGAAATGAGTATCTGGATAGAGACACTTAAAGAAGAGGGTGGGGGTGGGAGGATGTGGCTCGTTAGATCACAGACCCTTGGATTTAGAATGTGGCTTGCAGTTCCTTAACCCAATTGTCTATCCCTATGCACAAATATGACAAAAACAAATCTTCCTGCAAAGTGTTGACCAATGACACCAAGTCACTAGTGTTTGAAAGAGGAAGCAAGATTGGATTGGAAAGAAGCAGATAGAGCTAAATTATTGCTGGCATTCTAGTTCTTGAGTTGGCCAGCAAGTTCACAGATGTTTGTTAAATTACATATGATTAAAAGAGCCCTTGCATAATGAAAAGGCATTGTAAGCCATGAGCAATTCAATCTTGGGCACCTGAAGTTAAGAAAAAAGAAGTTTCTACTAATTCCAAAGGAATGCTGTCCTCTGTCTTGCTGGAATGATTCCTGAATGCAAGATCAGCGGATCTTAATGAAATCCGGCATATCCCTGGAAATGACTTGTGAGTTTATATAAACCTGGGTGTGCATCTTTTTTATAACAGTGCTTGCTGGTTGCTTGAAGGTCGTAGAAGCATGAGTCCCTGAGTACAGAAGTTGCACTTAATTACAGCACCTAGAACAATCCTGGCATACAGTTGGTACTCAATAAGTGCATGTAAGATCTGTGGATGAATGTTTCAATGTATAGAAAAATATACAGATGGATAGATGGATGGATGGACAGAAGAATGTGTCCTTTCCATTTCTGACACTTTGCCCCTTACTTGAATCCAGGACAGAGCTTCTACCTCCTGTCCTGCCTCCTGTAATACCAGGCTCCCCAGGCCCCAGCCCCGCTCACCTGGGAGGCAGAGGAGGAGTAGAGCTGGAGGCACCCACATGGTCCTCTCTCCCTGGCTGGTGTCCCCAGCAAATCCAGGTCCCAACTGGATTCCAGATGTTGGCAGCAGAGCCTGGGTCATCCACCCTCTACTTGTTCAAGTTTCCAGGGTGTTTCTCTTTCATATACTTCCTTGTTAATCTCTTAGTTACTTCCTGATTTGAAGCCTTACTTAGAAAACGGGGGAGAGTGGCAAGAGCTATTTCAGAGAATGGACTAAGAGCCACAAGGGAAATCTGCTGATTTCCCCCTATGTAGTGATAGTACAGTTTTGGGTCACCCTGAGCCTTCGTGAAAGTCAATCCCAACACATGAAACCTCCCGTGGAGGAGACCCCGCATCCCCTGCCTCTCTCACTCTTCTTCTCATCTGGGGCTGCTTCCTTGATCTAATCAGCTGCCCTTTTTCTCTGGCTACCCTTTTGGATCATAAGATACCTTCAATTAAGAGCTGGGGTGAGGACCCCCCATATCTCCCTCAACTGTCACCTCCATGTGGATACATCTTCCTCTCCCCTCTTATGCCCACTGGGCTCCTGCCCCAACTTTCTGACTTCCTGTGAGGATTCTCCTCCTCGTTGTTCACTATTCATCTAATTCAGGATAAGGGTGTTGGTTAGGAGCATAGATCTGAGCACAAACTCAACTCCCCTCTCCATATTTACTGACCAAATGCCCTTGGGCATGTTGCTAAATCACACTTATTCTCAGTTTCCTCATCTATAAAATAGAATGATAGTAACCATTCTTATCTCATACAAGTAAATGAGCGAACGCCAGTAAAGTGCTAGGCACAGTGCCTGGAACATAGTAACTGCTCAGTAAACATTAAATATCTTTAGAAGAGTCCTGGGCATTGAAATAGCTCCTCATCTGGTCTCTCAGCCAGATATACATTCCCTCCAGTGAAGTGCACACCTCAGGAGCATAGTCTTCTCTAAGACACAGGTAGCTAAAAATATAATCCGGTGACAATCCCTGTCATCGGCCTCTACTTTTTCTTCCCTTTCCCCAGGGGTCCATATCCATGGCCTCTAAACTTCACTATCTTTTAGAACTCTCTGCCAAATCATCTGCTATTTCGAACTTTTGCTGTAAGAGCTCAATTTCTTCTCTTCCCTCTTTCACCGTATCTAATGAAATCTGGCGCATAGGTTGAGCCCTACACCAAAGAGCAAAGCACATGGGTCCTGCCCCCGTGTATGTTACTAGTCCCTCACCTGGGGGCCCAGAGTGAGCAGAGCTGACAGTGGGCACAACACTGTGTATCCCTGTGTCATTGCTTCAGCATTGAAAAGAGCCGAGGGTTTCGGTTCTGCCACCAAGAGACTCAAAGAAATCTCCAGGCCCCTCAGTTCTGCTTTTATGTTGTTTTCTTCTGCTTCCTTTTCTCCCCAATCTGATCCCTGGTGGGTTTTTTTTAATAAAATAAAGGAAATGGGAGTGAGCAAAGGCAAGCACTGATCAAATATATACATTTTATCTATCTATCTATATATATATTATATGATAAAAAATATAAAATGTGTCTAATGTGGTCACATTCCATTATAATCCAATAAGAAAGTAATAATTCTGGGCAACATGGTAGACGGAGTCAATACACAGACTCCCTTCTAGCTCCAAACATAGAAATTCTGCATATATTGCAACCCAACAAGTTTTAATAAGTAACTGAAGCCAAAATCAAGCAAAGGAAATCCCCAGGTGCCAGAAATGGAAAGAGATCTGAAAGCCAAGACCATGAGCAGGGTCTGATGCCAAACAGCTAATGGGAACATTAGAAATGGGTTTGGGCTTCAGGAGGAGAGAGGATGGCATTTAAATAGCCACTGGATGTCAGGAGCAGATGCCTCAGGTTCCTACCACACAGGGAGCTGGAGCCGAGCCCCCTGCTCAAAGCTGAGATCCGTGAAGGGCCCCCACACCCTCAGAATGGAGTGAGGGGCAGGAACCTCAGTGATGAGTTTAGAAGAGCATCTGGGTATCTTGGGCCCCTAAAGCCATGAGGACGTAGAGCCTCCCATAGGATCCGGCTCCTAAGTTGCACTACATAGAGGTGTGAGAGCCAAAGATGAGAGAAATCAGGTCGATGGTTGCCTGGGGTGGGGGCGGGGGTTGTCTATAAAGGGGCACAAAGGAACTTTCTGGGGTAATTGGAAATGTCCCATCTCTTGATTGTGGTGTTGGTCACAGGGCTTTCCATCAAAACTCAATGAACTATACATATAAAGTGGGTGCATTTTATGTAAAGTATACTTCAGGAAAGTTGATTTTTTAAATCAAGGAAATGAATATCACAAATATCAGAGTAATGGATATCGCTCATGGGGGAGAGAGTGTGAACAGGAAGCAGGTTTTTGGGGTAATATTATAGCAACATTGTATTTCTTGACCTCATTGGTAGTTACATAAACATTGCTTAAAATTATTCTGCAAAGTATACATATGTTGTATGCAGTCTTCTTTATGTGTGGTATATTTTACAATTAAATGCATACATTTACTATATTTTGCATGTATACTACATGTAATTAAATGTACATACTCATAAATATGCCATGGAGCAATGAATATGGGATTTTGAGAGGAAAAAAATCAATGCCGAAGGATGATATACCTCATAGCGAAAAAGAGAAAGACATTTTTTAAATGCAAGGACTTGAAGTGTATAATCCATGTAGGCTGTCTTTAAAAAAAAAAAAAAGACTCACTCTACTCCACCCAACCAAGAAATCAACCCAAAGAATTTACATTTGCAGAAGATGCAGTGTAAAGGGAATAAGAGTGGGAAACAAAATCAGTTGAACTTTTAAATTTATGTCTGCGTCATTTTTTTTTTAAGATTTTATTGGGGAATTGGGGGAGGGGAACAGAGCTGGGGAATCGTGGGAAAGGGAACAGACAAGTTGCTCTCCGTTTGTTCTTCAGTCTAGTTGTGGAGGATGTTGTTTCACTGGCCCAAGCTGGCACCATCATTGCGCTCTTCCCGGGAGAGGCAGATCAGTCGCCGGCTTCTGGACGGCCGCTCACGGCGGCTACTGGCC